TGGGGAGCCCCCCCCCCCCTAAAAAAAAAACCCCCAAAAAAAAAAAAAAAAAAAAGAAAAGAAAATGACAGCAACGTCACTGGCATACAGCAGCTATGCAAATACAAGTGAAGACAAAGGACACTTAAGCCCTGGTGCCAGCCCGCCTCAGAGGCTCCCACAGAAGTGACTCAGCACTCACATTAACTCACAGGTTAGCTCTGCGGGGAAGCTAAATGGACCGTCCCTGTTCTAAACACATTCTTTCAGAGCAGCTCTCAGGAAAACAGCCCATGAAGCAGAGCTCCCGCACTCACAGCCTGCGCAGCTCCGGCATCAGCCCAGGGGCCGGTGGTTCTCTGGCCTGGGTCCTCCTGCAGGCTGGCTGCCTCTGCCCGGACTGCCCTTCCCCAGGCTTTGATAGATAAACCTGACCTGGACCCCAGCTGGTGGTAGTGGGGGGTGAAGGACCTTGAGTACTGAGGCTATGAGCACAGCCTCCTGCAAAACATATCACCCACCTACCCGGGTACTGTGCCGTTTCCCGGGGAAACTGCGCGACTAACTTGCCTGAGGTCTAGCTGAGCCCCGAACCCTTGCTCCATCCCCAGTGTAGCAGCAACTACCACCTAACTGTAGCTGAAAGTAACTTTTCCCTATTCTTACTCCCTCTCAGGCTTGCGGGACATCCTAAACCACTCGGCGTCTGTGAGAGGTCACGCCCCAGGATGCGTTCGACCGCATAACCCTTCACGATCACGTACAACACCAGGGATGGCCCAGCCCCCAGAGGCCTCTGAGTCAGGGGGGCTGCACCGTCTCAAGGAGCCCCAGGGCTCTATGAAGGTGCTCCAAAGTTTTTGCAGTTGAGGTGAAGTTCATTTAGTGGGATTATTTATTAATACAATAACACTCACACACATTACTGATGCCATTTAGCTCTAAAACACGCGTAAAACAGCATATCTGCACGTTCACTCCTCCCCTACTTATCCGCAGCGTGTTCTGCACTCTGGAATTCACCCAGCTCCCTGGGAAGGTCCGCCCACCCCCCGCCCCGCATTTGTATGAATCTGAAGTCCAAACTTAAAGAATCTGGAGTTTGTCCTAAAAAGTTTGGGTGCCAAGAGCTAGAGCAATACAAACCCAGCCATGGATTAGGTCGTGGAACAGGAACGAGCAGGCAGATTTGTGAACAGCAAGGGTGGAACCCCAGGGCTCTATGAAGGTGCTCCAAAGTTTTTGCAGTTGAGGTGAAGTTCATTTAGTGGGATTATTTATTAATACAATAACACTCACACACATTACTGATGCCATTTAGCTCTAAAACACGCGTAAAACAGCATATCTGCACGTTCACTCCTCCCCTACTTATCCGCAGCGTGTTCTGCACTCTGGAATTCACCCAGCTCCCTGGGAAGGTCCGCCCACCTCTCACGGACAGAGCCGCCGCCAAGGACGTGGGTTGTCCCCGAGGCAGATGTCAGGTCTCACCTATCAGGGCCAGTCAGATATGGTGCGTGTTCAACAAGTGACACTCAGAGGGAGTGACCACAACGGCCACCTGAACCACCAGTGCATGCTCTTGGTAGTCACTGTCCTCTACAACCCAGAAAAATGGTCTCCAACAACTATTTTTCTGACATTTTCAAAGAAAACAATGGATATAAAACATGTTAAAGATAAAAGGTCAAAAATGAAAATGAAATCAAACATTCACTTTGCCGGCTTTCGGTTTTAAATCATTCCACCTGCTTGTAGAGCACCAAGTTTCCGCTCTCTGGGATAAGCCTTGAACGAAAGGCAAGTCGGCTTCCCCACCCCGGAGCAGGTATGGGAGAAGGTGGCCACGCCCTGCCAGCGTGGCATTTCTGACTCCCCGGCGCTCCCAGACACGTCCGCCTGTGCCGAGAGCGAGCACCCCGGAGTCTCTCCATATCCGATCGCGGGGAGTGATTACCATAAGAGACGTTAGCAATTACTGTCCAGCGTGACGTAAGCTGAGGCGGCAGCGCCGAGCCAGCGTCCTTGTCGAGCGCTCGGGCCTCCTGGATTACTTCACTGGGGCCCTGATTAGGATGCGTGCCGTGTGCCGCTCAATCCGATCTGCCGCCAAATGCCAAGTACTCCAGGACTCAATTAGGAAACGGGTCCAAACACGTGGGATGGGGCTAAGGCCCTAAGTGGGGCGCACTCTTCCGTCACCATACTGCTCTCAAATGAGGCAATTCGAGCACCCACTCCTCCGCCTTGATTCAGGTAACCGAAGAATGAATAGAGATGACAGGTTACCATAAATATGTTTTCTTAGATTAAAAGATTTCTGACAGGCTCAGGGACCGTAAGACAGGAAAACAAATGTTAAAGGGCCATCTGGGTGCACGGGACGGCATTAAGCGAGTTCGCACTGCAGGTCGCACTGTGGCATGGTGAAGAGAGGCGGCCAGGGTCGTTACTTTCACATCTGTTTCCTCTTACAAGCGATGCCACTGAGCAACCGCCACCTTTAGGGTCATTTATGCCAGCGACGACTGACAGGCCAACAATGTGACATTAGAACTTGCAAACCTATTTTCCTCTAAAAGCAAAGACCTTTGTGTAGCCCTGCAGAGCACATACTACCTACTCAGCAAGACACGGGAATTCACGAAGAAATAACTGCCTGCCCAATCCTTTTTGCCAGCAGTAAGCAAGGCCCTTGAGAGACCTTGTTGGAAGAGAAAGGACAGAGCAAGGGATTCTTTGACTCCCTTCAGAAACCCTCAGCTACCCAGCCTCCTCCAGGTGAGCTCTGTACAACTCAGTGGCAAATAGAAAACATTCCTTAGGCAAAGAATCCAGAAGTGTGGGTGCTGGACAGGAGCCCACAGGTCCGGTGTCCAGTCCCCCTCATGTTGCTGAAGAGAAAGAGGCAGGTCACGTTTCAGAGAACCCGGGACTCTCCCTGCTGTGGGTACCAGATAAGCCAGAAGGGCCCACGATCAACGTATGGCACAGCCCTTCCCACCGTCGCACTGGCCTGACAGGCTGTCAGTCCTGGTGATTATGCCAGGTGACGCCACGTGGTCTCTGTAGATCTTCCTGGCCTCACTCTGCAGGGAGCTTTCTGTAAAGCCTATGAGAGGAAAGGCATTGACGGACACTAGGGGAGGGATACATCGCCACCCACGGCTGCCCAGGGTGCCCTTGGCATGGGATCCACCAAAGTTATGATGGTGCACATCCCTTGGACCCACCAGACCTACTCTGAGGAATAATCCTACATCTATGAGCATGTGGGCCTTGTGTTCTTTGCAATATCAAAAGACGGGAAGTAATCTGGATTCCATCAGTAAGGAACTAGCTGAATTAATTAAGGCATGTCCACAAGATGTCATATTATTATTTTTAATGGAAACTTTTGCTATAGGGCACATACGCTTGCTGGAGAGACAGACAGAAAGCAAGAAATCACCACCACCCTCCCCCATCCAGGGGGATGGTCACGCTGCAATCCCTTCTCCTCCATTCTCCTCTTGGGATTTTGGGCACACACACACACACACACACACACACACACACACACACAGCTTCACTTTTAAGCCACCAGGTCCGGGACTGGAATTGCAGTCAAGTATGTGGGAGTCCACGGATGTAACCATTATGCCATCTTCTGGTCCCAAGATGGCATATTATTAAGTTTCAGAAAAAAAAAAAAAAAAAGCCAGGAAGAGCTTTATTATGTCATAAGAAATTATCTCTAAGAGATTTTGTTGCAGAATATAGCAAGGTGCAAGACAGTAATACAGTTTTGTTTATTATAAAGGTTTTTGCCATAGGCCACGTGCATTTGCCAGAGAGAAAAAGAGAGTGAGAGGGAAAGTAAGAAATCATCCCGTGGGGGGGAATGGCCACACCCAAATCCCTTTTCCTCCATTTTCCTCCTGAGATTCTCGGCATGTATGCACACCCACCCGCCATGATTTTCAGTCCAGAACATGACCAGGGGTCAGCCCTGTGGGAGTTCAGCGCCATAACCACTATGTCATCCGCTTGTCCCAGTAATATACTGGGTTGTTGGAAAAGTCATGGCGTTTTTTTCTATGCAAAAATGCATCATGACTTTTCCAAAGACCCATAGTATTTTATCATTTGCATTTTAAAAAGAGGACTTGAGAGTGCACTGGTAATGTGCTTATTCACACATAAGCGCTCTCTGGAAGGATGCACGCAGGCCTGGAGCACTACTTTGACTGCAGGAAGAGAAACTGGGTGGCAAGTCAACAGGAGGAAGAAAGGGTCTGCCCATCGTACACCCTTCCTCCCCGTCCTCTGATTTCTAAACATTACCTAATCCAAACACACCTTTTCTTTATTTTTCTTGAGAAGTTTTTGCTATAGGGCGCATGCGCTCACCAGAAAGATAGAGAGAGACAGAGAGACAGAAAGTGAGAAACCCACGCCGCAATCCCGTCTCCTCCATTCTCTTCTCGGGATCTTGGGCACGCACGCACACGTGCCTAGTATGAGTTTAAGCCATCAGGTCTGGGACTTGAACTGTGGTCGACTACATAGGAGTCCAGCGATGTAGCCATTACACCAACTGCTGGTTGCCAAACACGCTTTTTAAAAATTCATGTTTAGGGAACCAGCAGTTAGCGTAATGGCTATGTCGCTGGACTCCCACGTAGTTGACCGCGGTTCGTGTCCCGGACCCGGTGGCTTAAAACTCACGCCAGGCGTGTGTGCGTGCGTGCCCAAGATCCCGAGAGGAGAATGGAGGAGAAGGGATTGCGGCGTGACCATCCCCCCTGGGGGGTGATTTCTCGCTTTCTGTCTCTATGTCTCTCTCTGTCTGTCTGGCGAGCGCACGCGCCCTACAGTGAAAATCTCTCAAAAAAAAAAAATTCATGTTTAAAACTGATCTCCTGGGGCCAGCAGATGGTATAGTGGTTAAGGCACTGGATTCCTGTGTGGCCAGCTGCAGTTCAAGTACCGGACCTGGCAGCGTGAAAATCACACCAGGCATGTGTGCACGTGTATCCAAAATCCTAGGAGGAGAATGGAGCAGAAGGGATTGTGGCATGGCCTGAGGGGTGATTTCTCACTTTCCCTCTCACTGTCTCTGTCCAGCACGTTCACATGCCCTATGGCAAAACCTAAAAACAAACAAACAACAACAAAAAAAAAACACTGATTTTTAAAAAAGTGAAAATAGGAGCCAGCACATGGCATAGCAGTTGCATCACTGGACTCTCACATGGTCGACCACGATTTGAAGCCAGGACCCTGTGGCTTAAAACTCATGCTGGGAGTGTGTGCATGCATGTCCAAGATCCCAGGAGGGGAATGGAGGAGAAGGGATTACAACATGGCTATTATCCCTAGGGGGTAATTTCTCACTTTTCCTCTCACTGTCTCTGTCTCTCTCTCCAGCAAGCATACACACTCTAAGGCAAACAAAGACCCCTACAAAAAAAAAAAAGGTGAAATAGATAATAGCATTTTTTCCTACAATCCTATATAGCCATAAACTTGCTGGCTCCTAATTCTGACCTCTGAAATCCTTGTTTAGGAACCCCTGCTGCATGGGCAAAGCAAGATGTTCCAGAAGCCTAGCCCTCTGAGCTGTTCCTACCTGGGCTGGAGATGACTGATCAGCCAGCTATACTCACAAGTTGTTTTTTTTTTTTTTCATCGATTAATAGATAGGCATTTGCTAAGTTACTTGGAAACCATGTTTATGAACACAGCGAGTTTACTTGACAAGTACCAGTTGGGTGAAATCTGTGTATGAGGCTGCTTTCACACTCAAGTGCCAGGAACACAACTGGGTACTCCGTAATGACCAGGGACGAATCCGCAAGGGCTGGCTGGCTAGAGATCACTGGGTGAATCTCAACCATTCTACTCGTGCTCGGGCAGCTGTGGCACTTGTAAAAGGCTAATATGGTCCTCACAGAGTGCCAGGATACTCTCTGACTACACAGAAACCCCACTAAGCAAAAATACCAGCTCTGGAATCCTTCCACAGGTTAGGGAGCCTTAAGTTCCTGACCAAAGTTCTATTTCAACGTTTGGACTTCAGTCTGCTTTTATCACCGACAATCAATAATGAACTATAGCTAAACCTCAGTTCTGTATCAGGTACAAAGACAGACCAAGCTCTCTGTTCTCATAAAGCCTTCATCTGAGTCCTAGATACACAGGCCAGCGGCACAGACAGAAAGCCCAGAGAGTACATGGCCCCAGGCAAACCCCACTGCGGAGGCTCCTACCACCACAGTAAGATGTGCTAGGAGGCACGCTGCCAGGCAGAGGCACAGACATGGCCCAAACAGGGTACTGGTACGCAGAGTGACACGAAGTCTCACACACAAGGCTATTTGGGAATTATGACATCGCAGCACGGAATAGCAGGACGATCCTAAGATCTCACAGAGCCATCCACGACATGGCTCTATTCACATGGAAATGTTACATGACAATTTTCTTCAAAAGGTAGGTCTGGAGGCCAGCGGTGTGTGCTGGATTCCCACACGGCTGACCGCAGTTCGAAGCCCAAACCGGGTGGCTTACTTCCCTTCTCTCTGTGGTGAGTGTCCTACAGCAAAATTTAAAACTACATAAATACAATTAAATAAGTGATTTTTAAAAATATGATCGAGGGAGGAGAAAACCTATTACACACATTCAGATGGAAAGTCTTCCCTCGGCAAAAAACGCAGAAAGTTACACAGGGACATGATACTTGGCATTCGACTTACTTTCAAGTGGGTGGCGTTCCTGTTGGAGAAACATCTCGACACAAAGTTATTACTAGTTACTTACAACCAGCCGTTCACCCACACGAGTGTTTGGAGTTTTGGTGGCGCACTCACAAAATATTTGGATGACTAAATGCTGCTGTTGGCTTTGAAAGAGCTATTTAGAAACATTCTCACAGAGAATTTACTTCCTCTCCTAACCTTAAAATACCAAAGAAAAATACCAGGTACCAAGTTATTCGAGGGATTATACACTTTTAAACATTAATTTTCATAAAATTAACATATCAATCTGTTGATTCTTATCAATTAACGCTTTTTCTTTTTTTGGAGAGGTTTTTGCTATAGGGCGCGTGCACTCCCCAGACACAGAGAGACAGAGAGACAGAAAGTGAGAAATCACCCCCCCCCCGGGGGATGGTCACACCGCAATCCCTTCTCTTCCATTCTCCTCTCAGGATCTTGGGCATGCACGCACATGCGCCTGGCATGAATTTTAATCCACCGGGTCCGGGACGTGAACCGCAGTCGACTACATGGGAGTCCAGTGACATAGCCATTACACTAACTGCTGGTCCCTCAATTAATGCTTTTAACTGGGTTGGAAATTTTGAGTGGCATCCTTAAAAACCGCCTACTTAAAACTGCATGTGAAAGATCCTCCTAGGCTAATTTTGGGCTGGACTGCCCCTTTTGCGAGTTTCTCAAATGTATCTACTACGATGGTACCGCAATAGGGACAAATCCAGTAGGGTAAGTCAGAGGAAAACAGGACCTGCTCGGTAAAAAAATGTATTACCAATATAAAACATTTAAACCAGACTAGTATTAAATATAACTATAACCTCACTATACTGAGAACTCTAAAAATAAATTGATAAATTGAAAGCGAGGCAGATGAAAAATTAGAAAGCTGACAGTCTCTTCTCTCTCAACAAATGAGTTCAACAAGGATTGGAAAAGAAAGTTTTCTTGGGGCTCCAGAAAGTTTTCTTGGTGCCTCAGGAGATCAGTCTCTGCCTTGCTCTCCTACCTCCTGGGGAGACGGAGCTCAGGAGCTAGCGCATCACAGACTCTCAGCTGAGACTCACTGGACAGGCTCTGACACAGCGGGCTGGCAGGCCGACCCTGTGTGTGACAGCACAGGGGGGCACCTTCTCCCGGCGAGTGTCCAACAAGCCAAAGGCAGTTTTCACCGCTGTGTATGCCTCCCTGGATGAGGACCATACTGAGAGATGGCTGAACTGCCAGGGTCCAACAGGGCTGGATGCCACACAGTGACCCTGGTTCAGGTCCTGGGTCCTCCTGAAAACATGCCGGGTGTGCATGTGGGCACCCAGAGGATCTGAGAAACAGGAAGGCTGGGGGAGGGGGTGGTCACAGCATGATGAGATGGTCGGGATACACGCATGCTCTCTCGCTTTCTCGCTCATGGGTGCACATGCACTTTCTATCATAAAAAGTAAAAAATAATGTATAACTGAAATCCAGGATGCTTCAATTCCTGACCATCTACAAAGTGGCAAAACCAGTGACACCAACATAAACGAGACTTGACCTTACAGGTCAAATACCAAAGATCACCACCAGAGGCCCAGCTGCAAGAGTGCACCCTGGATACTGCTGCTCAGGAGGACAAGGCCACACGGGAGACCCAGATTCAATTCCCAGCTCACCCTAAAAATACAGGCACGGTGGCACACACCTACGGTCCCAGCTACTCAGAAGGGTGAGACAGGAGGATTACAACACAGCAAGACGTTACCTAAAAAGTAACAAATCTCCCACATGCGCACCACCAACACTGGCCAGAACCACACTATGAGTGTGGATGACAGGGACCACACAGTGATAGTCAGCTCTCGTGTATCAGGTACGAGCTTAACACTGCACATACATCTTTCCATTTAATCCTACAACTCCATGAAGTAGGTACCATCGCAAACTCCACGTACTAAGGAAAACACTGAGGCATACAGAGGGATATGTAACCTGCCTAAGGTCACACAGGTTAGGCAGGTAATAGGGCCGGTGTTCAACCGCAGCCAGCATGCATCCTGGTTCCTCTCCTAACACCGCTATGTGGAAAAGGAGAAGGATGTCTCAGGGGAACTGCTGGCTCAGAGACGTTCCTTACCAGGAAACCCAACTGCTAGCAGGGTCAGGGGCAGGCAGATTGGAAAAAACACAAAATGAAACGAAACCTTCACCTCTTTCCCCTAAGCCCACTGGGAGGGGAAGAGTTCTATAAGTCATCTTTAAGACTAAGTGCTTGGCTGGCAGAAGAGTGAAATGCTAGAGAGTGATAAAATTTGGTCATTGTAGAATTTCAATTAAAAACTGGTCTCTGGGGAACCAGCAGTTAGCGTAGTGGCTATGTCGCTGGACTCCCACGTAGTGGACCGCGGTTCGTGTCCCGGACCCAGTGGCTTAAAACTCACGCCGGGCGCGTGTGCGTGCGTGCCCAAGATCCCGAGAGGAGAATGGAGGAGAAGGGATTGCGGCGTGACCAACCCCCCTGGGGGGTGATTTCTCGCTTTCTGTCTCTATGTCTCTCTCTGTCTGTCTGGCGAGCGCACACGCCCTACAGTAAAAATCTCTCCAAAAAAAAAAAAAAAAACTGGTCTCTGTGCTCCTGGCTCAGAGTATCAGAAGTCACTTGTGTGCACTGCTGGTGAGAATGTACATTTTGATGCAACCTTTTAAGAGGGCAATTTGGCAATGCCCACCCACATCTCAAATGCACATCCCAGAGACAGACTCCACAGGGGCTTCTGCAAGTGCAGCAGTGCTTGTACTAGCCAGAACAGCAAAAGCAACCTAGATGCCCACCACGAGGGGACTGGCTGCCCAGGCTCCGGGCTGTAGGTGTAGGCTGAACGTTAGGGCAAGGGCATCAGTACGTACTGGCAAACGCTCTCCAAGACACCGTACTGAGTAAACGCTGAGAACAGGACAGCATGCACACCGTGATCCCATTCCTAAAACAATGCCTTTCTGGTGCACCTACGTATCTATATATGTGTTATTTTTTTCTAGATGGATACCTAGAAACTACTAATAGTTTATTCTGTGCAGTGGAGTCAGAAAAGACGGGGAAAGGACATAGTTACTATTTTATAGCCTTTTAACATGTTTACATTTTTATCATGCTAATAACTAATGCATCTGGAAAGAAAACAGGATCAGATAGCCTTAGCTGATCAGTTGCCTTCTCAACAGTAAAATCTGTTCTTTTATTAATTGTGCATCTTGCTATCTTAGTACCTTGTTTCCTTCGTACACCCATCCAAGACTCTTCACGCCAAAAGCAACCTGGTGGGCTGAAACATCCAGACACGTGACGGGCTGGCCGTAGACATAATGAAGGGTTCTGGCAGAGTCTTCAGCTTTTAGCAGGTAGACCAGATCTCCGGCAGCAGCCACTGCCACAGGGTACCTTCCAGTATCTGGAACTATTTCAAGGTAGTCCACCTGTTAAAGGGTAAGAGTTGTTTAGTTCTACAAATTCATCTTGACTTGGTCAAAAACACATAATTTCTAGTACACAGCAATGACAAAACTAGCAACCCAATAGCAAACAGTGGGCAAATAGACCACTCACAGGAAATGAAACAAAGTAGCTCTTACAGAAATGAAGATACTCAATCTAAGAGAAACTCAAATACACCCCTAAGAAGGGAAATACAAAGTAAAAATTAAGTAAGCTGTATGCTTCATCTATCATAGCAGTAAAAGTCAGGAAGTCTGATAGCACACTGGGCTAGAAGTGAAAGGAGGACAATGTTTGGAACCCCTTGCCGTGGGTGGGGATGTAATGTCTAATTTCTTTTTCTTTCTTTAAAAAAAAATTTTTTTTGATTTTTAAATTTTTTATTTATTTTTTATCTTTAAAATTTAGTTAGTTAGTTAGTTAGTTAGTTAGTTAGATTTTGACTGGAGAGGGAGAAAGAGAAAGTGAGAAAGCAAGTCACGAGATCCAGGACTCAAACCATGGTCAGCCTTGTGGGAGTCCAGCACCCTTAACCACCACACCACCTGCCGGCCCCAGTGTGGTCCAATTTCTAACAAGGGAAATCTGGCAACATTTATCAAAATGCCAAATGCACATATGCTCCAGCCCAGCAAGTCTACTTCTAGGAATTTATTACAAATAAGCTCGCCCATCAGCAAAACGACTGTGTATAGGCTAGTACTATTTTGTCATAGCCAAAAACTGCAAACACCTGAAGTCAGCAGGTGGCGTGGTAGTTAAGGCCCTGGACTTCCACATGGCGCACAGCGGTTTGAGTCTCAGATCTGGTGGCTTGAAAATCACACCAGGCACATGTGTGTGTGTGCCCAAAATCCCCAGAGGAGAATGAAGGAGAAGGGACTGTTACATGGTCATTCCCTCCACCCCCGGGGGTAAGTGATTTCTCACTTTCCCCCTCTTTCTCTCCAGCAAGCACATGTACCCTATGGCAAAAACCTAAACAAAAGAAAACAAAACTGAAAACACATAAACAACCATTACTACGGGACTGATTAAATAACTGGCAGTATATCCAAACATACACTGGAATTCCATGCAATCTGAGAATAAAGCACAACAACATTCTTTATAAACTGATTCAAATGGGGTAACTTTTAAGATAAAATTGGGGGCAAAGTGAGATACAAGGTAACAGGATTCCCAGGATGCGAAGCTGCATGAAAGGAGGCTGAGGAAGTATGTGATGTGCTTGACTCGTACATGCATAAACCTAATAATGGCGGCTGCTTTGAAGGAGGGAACCAGGTCATGGGATGGGGTAAAGAAGAGATTTCCCACTGACAACCTTTTAAATTCTGAACCATGAAGGTGTGATAATAGCTATCTGAAAAAAATGAAAGATTTGGGACCAGCAGTTAGTGTAATGGCTGTGTCATTGGACTCCCATGTAGTCAATTACAGTTTGAGTCCCAGACCCGGTGGCTTAAACTCACACTGGGTGCGTGTGTGTGCGTGCCCAAGATCCTGAGAGGAGAATCGAGGAGAAGGGATTGCGGCATGGCCATCCCCCCCTGGGGGGGTGATTTCTCGCTTTCTGTCTCTCTATCTTTCTGGCAAACGCATGCTCCCTATAGCAAAAAACTCTCCATAAAAATGGGGAGGGGGGAATAAAAGATTTTATTAATTTTATTTTTTTACCAGAAACTGAATAAATAAAACTCAGGTTTTTTTTATTTTAACTCAGTTCTACATAAGGAAAAACCGTATTTTAACATTTGTACAGATATGAAAAATAAACTGCCGAAAGTTGAAACTGTCTGAGATGCACTGTCTCATGGTTTCACTGCCATGCAGCGACCCAGGGGATCCACCTGGCCGTCCACGGGAGCACTGCAGACACGCGTTTCTGTCCCAGCACAGCAGTCCGGGCTGTGCAGTGCTGCTGCTAGCACTCTAATTCACAGGGCCGGCAACGCACCCTCGACAGCTCACTCGCCTCTCTCTGCGAGCAGCACCTGGATCCCTGCAGTTCCAGTGGGTCTCACCTCCAGCGTCAGTTATGAGAGTATTAAGGCTGAAGGTGAGCTGCGGTGTAATTATGAAAACCCCCCGCAAAAAGGACAACGCTGCCCTGACAAGACGCCCAGTGAGTTCAAAAGCCCGAGTCCTGAAGACTGTCCAGAGGAGCCTGAGAGAGAGTAAACATCCGGGGGCTTCTGCTAATCCCTGGGCCCACACGCATGAGTGGTGCCCAACGTCCCAAGCTCCGGGTCTGCCACAAAGGGCAGAGGCTCTAGACTGGCAGTGCAGTCCCAGGACACGGACACTGCCACTGTCGCTCCGGCAGCGTACCTGGAGAGGACAAAAATGGCCCTGCTCTGTGGACCCAGGGCTGCCTTTTCCAGGGGTATGTGGCGTATTCTGTGACAACTGCTCTCCCGGAGAGAGAACTCAGACATAAAGTGTTGTAAAGCATGCCTCCAGCACTGGCTGCCTGCTTCCCCTCTCTCCTAAAACTGACATCCTCAGTCTAGTCATTGACTCCAACGTACTGCTGGGTTTTTGAAAGACCGAGCGGGCACAGAGGACAGTGGTTGAGACATTTGCCAGAAGCTATAAACTTCATCGGAAAGCTCCCAGTCTGAGCCAGCGTGCCACCTGATGGCCGAAGCAGGGTTTACCCTTCGCAGTGGGACTCGTGGCCTGTCTCAGTTCCTAGGATTGCTCCTGGATTACAGTGCTCTTTAACCAGAGACAGGTAACAATCGCTACGGCAGTCTGAGCACAACCACTATCATACTCACACATTTTTCTAATAAAACCCCAAGGCGAGGTAACAGCATCAGGTACTTTCAGGGAACATGACAGCCACCTCTGCATGACTGTAGAGATCTGGTCCTTAAAGTGACAAAAAGCTTATGGAGGTGAAGGGCTGGGGCCACAACCTCTGAAGTTGTTCAAGTCTTAATAAGATCTCCACCAGGAAGAAGAGGGAGAGGAATAAGGATTGGTTCCAGGGTAGGTTATCAATCCATTATTCAATATTCACTCTTCTATTCACTCCTACCAATGCCAAAATCAAGTTTGTTTAAAATAAAACTAAATTCAGCACAGACAGATCTGAGGGCGTCCTCCTTCCCCCAACCATCTCCTACCATACAAATACAAAGGTGCACACACAACCAAACTCTGAGACAAACTCCATGTAAAGAATTCTCAAGGCTGGCTCGACTTTACACATACCCTGGAACACAGCTACCCGATTAACGCCGACTTAACTGACTCTTACTTAAGAGTTACCCTTAATGCCATGTGAGATAATCTTGGGATGAAGAAGGCATACGATGGAATGTTCCTTTCCATGTGTGCTGGGATGACACCCCTGTACCCACTTCCACTCATGTTTTAGGCCACAGATGATCTCAGACCTCCAGAGAGGGAAGTCCACTATGTTAGTCTAAGGAGGCCAAGGAGGCCAGAGACCCCAGTGATGAGAATTCTGGCCCTGAAGTCAGCCCTGAGGTTTGCACCACAACTCCTTAGCTCTGAGACCCGGGGCAAGTCAGTGCACTGCTTTAAGCCTCTACTGGCTTCTTAGCCAACGGGCGAAATACCACCTTCTACTTCACATGCCTGTAATGACATTAAAGATGTAAGGCCCACAGGAAGCGCTGAGTGAATGGAAGCAGCCAGCATCCCCCTAATTCTTGTTCATATTAGACCCAGAGACTCTACCAGTAGAAAACAAAATGACGAGACTTAAAGCTCACCAGTTTCTGAACTTCGAATTCTGCAGCTACTTGCCCGAATCCCTCCTCATTGGGGTACAACATTACGACATCGAACGCCGAGGCTGTGGCGACGGTTGCATCTTCCCGGCTAAGCGCTAGTGCCTGGATTCTTGCATCGTGCTCAAAACGATGAATAGGGTACCTTCCAGTCCTTAGATCCCAGATATTAAGAAATCCTATGTAGAAGGAAACAATGCACACAACAAATTTAAACTCACTTAGTAAATACAATTACAAAATAACATAACGTTTTAAATACACAAATTTATTTAAAAAAATCTACATCAATAGTCCAACTTCCTTGATACATAAAGAACATCTAATATTCAATAAGAAAAATAAAAACAACAAACAGTGGAAAAGAGAGCAAAGGATATAAGGATGCCAGTCATAGGGAGAAAAAACACAATGTAACATTTAAACATAAGACAAAATGAAAAAAATTAACTCGTAAGTAGGAAAAAATAAAAACCACACTGTGACACCATTTTTCATTAACCGAATGACAAAAATTAAGAATTTTGTGAAACATTTTGTTGTTGAGGATATGAAGAAACAGGCTCTCTCTTAAATTGCTGGTGAGAAGGTAAATTATCACTAATTCAACCACTTTTCAGGCAACTTGATAATATTTATCAGAATGCAAACCATATACAGTTGACCCCTGAACAGCACAGTTGAACTGTGACTTAGGACCTCTGACATGCATGTCCAATTATACAGATTTTTTTTCAATACTGTAAATGTATTTTTATAGTTTTCTTAACTTTTCTCTAGCTTGCTTCATCCTAAGAGTACATGGTAAAAATATATATATAAAATATGTGTTAATCAACTATGTTATCAGTAAGACTGTCAGTCAACAATAGGCACTGGGGTCAGCCAGGGGACGTGGTGGTTAAGGTGGCTGGATCCCATGTGGCAGACTGTGTGGTTCAAAAAACACACCAAGTGTATGTGTGTGTACTTGCCCAAAATCCCAAGACGAAAATGGAGGAGAGAGGACTGTGGCATGGTCACCCCCCTAGGGCATGCTTTTTTACTCTCCCTCTCCTGCCCTTCTCCCTCTCTCCAGTGCATGTACACACCCAATAGCAAAAGTCTCTTAAAAAAATTACACGTACACAATACCCATATACAATACCATAAAAGAATACACAAGAAACCAGGGCTGGCAGGTGGCGTGGTAACTAAGGGGGCTGGACTCCCACATGGCTGACCATGGTTCAAGGCCTAGACCTAGTAGCTTGCTTTCTCACTTCCCTTCTCTTTCACACTCACTCAGTCTCTCTCTGGTCAAAATTTAAAATAAATAAATAAATAAAGTTAAATAAAATAATTCTTTAAAATAAAAAACAGGGGAACCAGCAGTTAGCATAATGGCTATGTCGCTGGACTCCCACGTAGTCGACCGCGGTTCGCGTCCCAGACCCAGTGGCTTAAAACTCATGCCGGGCGCGTGTGCGTGCGTGCCCAAGATCCTGAGAGGAGAATGGAGGAGAAGGGATTGCGGCGTGACCATCCCCCCTGGGGGGTGATTTCTCGCTTTCTGTCTCTATGTCTCTCTCTCTCTGGTGAGTGCACACGCCCTATAACGAAAACCTCTCAAAAAAAAAAAAAATAAAATAAAATAAAAATAAAAACCAGAATACACAAGAAACCAAATACACAATGACTAGACTAAGCAAAGAAAACAGGGGAAAGGGACAAGAACAGAAAGGACATTTGCTGCATGTCTCTTTGTACACTCTCAAATGTGTCTCCAAAATGATCTGTACCAAAAAATCAATTAAAAAATCTTTTTATAAGAGAGACTTAATAAAAATGGGAGCACAGATATTAATTGCTAAGTATTTGTTTAACTTGCCAGAGGGCACATGTGCTCACTGGAGAGGGAGAGAGAAAAAGAGAAAATGAGGAATAGCTCCCCTGGGGGACGGTCATGCCATGGTCACTTCTCCATCTTCCCTCCTTTCAGGAGTTTGGGCACTCATATACCCAGTGTTTCTCCCAAGCTACCGGGTCTGGGACTCCTGTGAAGTCATGGGATTCATAAAGGATTCAGCTGCATTAACCACCAGGCAATGAGCTGGCCCACCAAGTAGTTTTAACACATGGACTTCTGTTTTGCCAGAGGGCATGTGTACAGACCAGGGAGGGAGGGGACAAGGAGGAGAAAGGCAGGAGTGCGCACATGTGCACCCCCAAGGCCTGGTCATGCTACAGCTCTGTTACCTTCCATTTCTTCTTTCCCTCAGGATCCTGGGCACACACATGCCCTGCATGTTTTTCAAACCCCTGGGGCCAGGATTCAAACCGCAGCTGGCCAGGTGGGGACCAGCTCCTCGTACAGTACTTCATGGCTGTGCTACTGGGCTGGCCCAACATACGGAGTTCTCAATTCATGCTGCTATTTATCCAGCTATTCGTTCAAGAAACAATTACTGAGCACTTGTTACATGCCAGGCACTATTCTAGAGGTTAGAAGTACCCCCCCCAATGGCCATTAACCTCTCCTAAAACATTCTAAAAGTTCTTACAAGTATTGTATGCCCTCCCTCACCACCACCCCCTTCTAGACACTGTTAGCAGTGGTATTTTATTTTTGCACATCTCTACAACACAAGCTTGGCTATCTCACACTGGTTAAAAATGTTGATTTTACTCTACGCCCTTCTTCCCAAACTCTGAATAATGCTAGACCATTTCCTCTTACACACACTGACCGTGTCACCACCATCTGGAATCATTCACGATGGTGATCTCCAAGGTGGTTCCCAGCCCCACAGCATCAGCAGCACCTGATGACTTGTTAGAAATGTACATTCTCGGGACCAGCAGTTGCCGTAATGACTAGGTCGCTGGACTCCCATGTAGTCGACCACGGTTCGAGTCCCAGACCTGGTGGCTTAAACTCACGCCAGGCGCGTGCGTGTATGTGCCCAAGATCCCCAGAGGAGAATGGAGGAGAAGGGATTGCAGTGTGGCCATCCCCCGACGGGTGATTTCTCACTTTCTGTCTTTCTCTGTCTTTCTGGCAAGCGCACATACTCTATAGCAAAAACTTCTCCAAAAAAAGAAGAAAAAAAAAAAAAAAGGAATGCACATTCTCAGGACCAAGAGATGGTGTAATGGTTACATCACTAGACTCCCACACAGTCAACAGTGGTTCGAGTCCCAGACCCAGCAGCTTAAAACTCACATCAGGCACAAGTGCGTGCAGGCCCAAAATCCTGCAAAAAGAATGGAGGAGAAGGGACTGCAATGTGACCATCCTCCCCACTAGGGGTGATTTTTTGCTTTCTGTCTCTCTAGCGCTCCAGAAAGCTCATACACTCTACACCAAAAAAAACTCTGAAAGGAAGGAAGGAAGGAAGGTAGGCAGGCAGGCAGGCAAATACTTAGGCACCAGAAATGTGTCCAAACACTCAAGTTCGAGAGCCAGTGGGCTACAGGAACCTACATTTCTTTACCAGAAGTATATACTTTCCTGTATCTGGAATGCCACTGGTCTTCTTTATGCACGGAAAAATTCTTCTAAAGATATCATTCTTATCCACTAAGTTACTTTTTTCCCTTGAAAAGTTTACCCAAGGAAACAACTTTCTGCATTAGGCTGGATGATGCCCTGTAACTGGTCACATTGTTCAAACTGCACTGAGAAATAACTACGGAGAGGTCGCAGTGTGGCCAGCTGAGCTCTAACCTAGCTCCTTCGCTTTGTTAATGACTAAAGGACTCCGAGGGGTTAGTTTCTTACCAGCAGCGAGCCCACTTCCTCATCTGTGAAACAGAAGATAACATCGCCTACTGCAGGGGACTGTCGGGTGGATAAAGGACTGCATGTGCTGACAACAGGTCATTCCTTTTATTTTTATGCTTTTAATCGTGCCTGCCGGGTTATAAAGCATAGTTCATCTATCAATAACACTCACTTTCCCTCTACTGCTCGTCCATAAATCCAATCCTACCTCCTAGTACCCAAAGCAGATAAAATATTTCACTCTTGTCTTTCAATCCATCTATCTTTCTTTTTCCTTGTCTTCAAACTCTAAATGGTTTGATTTTGAGACCTTACAATAAAGTATCATTCAACACGACATACATCCAGGGAGTTAGGGGAAAATAATACATTTCTTCTGCAAGACTTCCTGTTGGTAGGCTTAAATAGGTGACTACGAACACAAGCAGAGCCTTCTTCAAGCTAAATGCGATGTCTTTCTTCAGAAATAAACACCACGTACTCTTTGAAGAACTATCATAAACTTGGGGGAGAAGCGGATCACAAAAGGCTCCACCAAGCATACCCCTGGCAAATATTTTGGCAAAATCTTTTCATTCTGACTCAGAGGGAAAAAAAAAAAAATCTCGAGAGAATGCCAGTGGCTGCACACATTAAATAAGAGACAGGATCTTCCATTCCAAGATGTCTCATCTTAACATGTGCCTCTTCCAAATTCTCTGTGCTGCACTTGTTTGCGTTTGTTTTGAGGCATCACAAGAAACAGTAAAGAGAAATAAAAATTGCTATTTGCACGGCATTTTTAAGTTTTCACACACTTAGACTCGTCTACTCTTGTTGAGCACGCACTTCCACCCTGGGAGGAGCATCGTTACGTTCATCTCGCAGAAGAAAAAACAACAGAAGCTCAGAGTGGTTAAACAACTGGTCCAAAGCCACTTGGTACAGGATGAGGTTGAGCTGCAATTTAGCTACTAGAGTGCAGGATGAGTGGCTGCATTTAGACGTGCAAAAAATAACCATGAGCTCGATGAGGAACTGATGTACGCCATCAAACTCACCCTGTGTTCTGCCAAGCGTGGAAGCTATTTAGCCACGGCTCACTCTAAGCACACATGGAGTTTATCTATAAACACATTTTTCATTATTAATCAAGTATTGGTTTTGTTGGCATCATTTTACCAGCAGAACTGTATGCAAAAAAACACCCTTCACCACAAGGCTGAATTTCGTAGAGCTATCCAAAAAAAAGAGTCTTTTTGAGGGAAAAAAAATATTCTAGGGTTCTATCAGTTTCATGGTTGAATTCTTCTGTTCTGAATGGCCCTTGTGCCATCAACTTTCTCAGTTCCACATCAGTCGTCACGTGTGCAACTCGGTCGGGTCCTCCCTCGTCAGTGACGCTGGTATCATTTGCAGGGGCCTTGAACCACA